TCGCCTCATCAATTTAATAATAAAGGTAATCTGAAATACATTTGTACATGTTATTATTAGAGCAAATAAAATATATTTGAATTCTTGTATTTCTAATACCGAATTTTACCTTTGTCTATTTCTTTTAATTTAACTTACGACACATCGGACCGAACGTGTGTCTGATCCTTGCCACATATTCGCCCGATGAACACCTTGGTTTAAACGCGTTTTCGATATTTTCCAGATGTTGGCAACGATTTTCTAAAAATTTCGACATCAAATTCCAAGTTGGGATTTCATTTACAGGCGATTCTTCCTCCCATTTCGTTCGAGACGCAACGTCCAATTTTTGCGATACTAGCTGAATTAACATACAATCAGCAATCTGCCCTTTCGTACCCACAGTTTTCAGCGCACGCAAATGGGCGTTTATGTTGTCGCTTAATTCGCAAAGTTTCGCCATGGAATCACCTTCTACCCTTTTAAGTTGTACGATGTCTTTTATATGTGCCTGAAAATTTAAGCGTTTGTTATCAAACCGGGATTTCAATAAGTCAATAGCCCTATCATAGTTTTACTCCGAAATTTCCAACGAACGTATTGTATCCAACGCAGCGTCACGCAGGTTGGAGCGAAGATGCTGGAATTTTTCAATCCTCGTCAAATCCTCGTCTTGATGCACCACAGTATTGAACATTGAAAAAAATCAGGCCACGCGGTATAATTACCGCTGAATTTTGGGAATATGTAGAACTGGTAGCCTTTGTTTTGGCGGTGTGACAATAATCGATGGCTGTTCGTACGAAGTTGACCGCATGATCGAGCGATGAGTTTCTGCGCCACGGCAAATATACAGCTGGCGCATCAACTTCGTCTTCACTTCCATGTAATGGCTAGAAAACATTGTCACTACGTCTTCAGGTTCGTCCTCATCCTCCAAATGCGCTTGAATACCATCAAATCTTTTTCCAGCCGATCCACATGCTCTATTCGGACTTCAACTCCTACTTCGTCGAGCTCCCGGCTCAATGTTAAAGGCGTTATTAATCATTGTTATCTGCTGTATGAGAGAATCGCGCTTCTTTTTCCTGGATTCGACTTCTTCTGCTCTTTTGGACGGCGCCATGGGGCAATGCTTTGTTTGTTAATACCCAAAATCCGTGATTCCAAAATCACGTCGGGGTCACCAAATGGTTTCGTAGACGGCAAGCCTTTTTACCGACCAGTGGCAATTACAATAAAAACACAACGAAATGATCGAAAGCTAGTTCAAAATAAGCCAGTTTATTAGCGCCTATGCCCTTTTGCTTAAAGATCACAGATGGATTGAATATTTCATTATTATTGCTTCTCCTCAAAACTAGTTTTCAACTTATTGCAATCATTATAACACTTGGGCTTGTGCAGTAAAATCACCCGATTTAGCGGTAGCATAAACAATAGACGTAGCTATGTATACACATGTGTACATGTGCAGTGTATCAACGTATGAAATGAGCACAAAAGGGAGTAAATCTATATTGAGTGTTATTAGTCAACCTATGAAATGAGCACAATAGAGAGTAAATAAATATTGAGTGTTATTAGTGATGTTACTTGTTGATCGACTCGTACCAACAGTATTGAAGGTAGATCTTATAATTAAATTTAATAAAGGTAATTTCAATTATAATTACATTTCATCTATTAAAAAACTAAGGTATTTACTTTATTCTATATTTTTAATTTTCAGGGAGGAAAGTTGAGGGTCACTTCGTCCTGGGGATGATTGAGGACGGCAGCGAGGACCTCAGGCTGGAAGTGTGCCCAGAAACCGTCCGGTCCGCGTAGGTGCTCATACCTCTTATACAGAAGCATGTAATCGAGGGTACAATAATGCGTACAGATTATTGGAAAGCGTACGACTGCCTATCGAGGTATGGGTATGAGCACCAAAAGGTCAATCATAGTGACCCAGAAAACCCTTTTGTCGGGCCGGATGGAACCCACACCCAACGCATCGAGTCACAATAGCGGGTTGTTAAACGGTTTTTTCATAAAGATAATTTTAACAACCCTGCCAGCATTACAGATTTGGTTGTTGAATTTTTGTGGCGGAAGTCTATTTTAAAAAATTGCGAAGATCTCTTTCCCAAATGAATTGACGCTAGTAAATACACATACACACCAAAGTAATATGTGGAGTGTTACATATAGTTTTAAGTTTTCAGTAATATGTGGAGCTTTACAATGTATATATTTTTTAATACATTTTTATGGTAGCTTTAACTTTTTTAGTAGCTTCATTTATTTTGATTTATTTATTTATTTATTTTAGTTATGGAATACATAATTCTTACTAACTATGCCTTAATAATAAGCTCATACAAGATTAACGACTAAGATTGAATTTCATTGTGTTTCTTAACACCACTCCAGGAAGCGAGAGATCTATTTCTTTAAATCCATTAAGCTCCCTCAATGTTCGTGCAATTGGTGAATTGTGAACATAGTTGGATCTGTAAGGCTGGACATAAAACATGTCAAAATTCCTGAAACTTCGAACAGGAATATTGAAACATATTCTACTTAAAATTTTCGCACAGTCAATAGTACCAACCAAAACATTGATGACAAACGCACATGATAACGATTTTCTTCTACTCTGGAGTAAATCTAAATTGATAAGAAGGCAACGAGAGTTATAAGAAGGAAGAGGCTCGTAGAAATTAAGCGACCTCAACGCAAACTTAATAAAAACTTTTTGTATCCGCTCAATTCTATTGATATAATGATTTGAAAGGGCCGCCATATAAAGGAGGCATATTCTAGACGAGATCTAACAAAAGCTATATACAGCCTCTGGAGTGTATAGGGATCAGAAAAGTAGGAACTGTTTCGGCGTACAAAAGCAAGCATAGCGTAACCATTGGCCACTATATAATTTATATGATCGGTAAATACGAACTTATTGTCGAAGAACACTCCTAAGTCCTTAACTTGAGTAACTGACTCTAGTTTTGTGCCAGAAATGTAATAACACGACTTTATGGTGTTCCACTTTTTTGAAAAAACTATTATATTCATCAATTTTTATTGAGCTCGAGGCCGTTTTTTTAATGAAAAACTTATTGTGGAAAAGCAACAATAGTTTGAAAAAATGGTAGAAGTGATAGCTGTTTCGGAAATCATCACATTTTCTCATCAGACTTCTTTCAGTAGGATTCGAACCGACGATCCCACTGACTCAGCCAGTTGCCTACGCACTGTGCTAAGTTAGCCTTATAAATTATCGTTGCTTTTTTCCCACTTTTTCATTTGCTAAGCCAACACAATCAAGCGCAGCTATTCCGCTACGATTTACAATTGCTCATGTGGTTGTTGGTTTTGTTGGTTTTTTGTTAATAATTCTATTTTTAACTTCTAGGTGTGCTCGTCCTTAAGTTATTTGTTTTTGTTGTTTTATGGCCTTATAACAATTATATTCAGCAATTTTTTTTGAGGTCGAGGCCATTTTTTTTAATGAAAAACTTATTGTGGAAAAGCAATGAGCTTGATTGTGTTAGCTTAGCAAATGAAAAAGTGGGAAAAAACAACGATAATTTACAAGGCTAACTTAGCACAGTGCGTAGGCAACTGGCTGAGTCAGTGGGATCGTTGGTTCGAATCCTGCTGAAAGAAGTCTGATGAGGACATGTGGTGATTTCCGAAATAGCTATCACTTCTACCATTTTTTCAAATTATTGTTGCTTTTCCACAATAAGTTTTCACTTAAAAACGGCCTCAAGCTCATAAAAATTGTTGAATATAATTGTCATAAGGCCATAAAATAACAAAAAAACATATAACTTAAGGACGAGTACACCTAAAAAGTTAAACATTCTAATAATAGAAATATTAACAAAAACCAACACAACCAACAACCACATGATCAAGTGAATTGCAGCGGAATAGCTGCGCTTGTTTGTAGTTGGCTTAGCAAAGTGAAATAGTGGAGATAAGCAACAAGAAGTAACAAGACCAGTGATGAAATTGATGGTACAATTGTACTTTTTTATACATTTTAGATCCCAAAAGTACATTGGTACTACATCGACATTTTTGATACAATTTTGTCAAAATACAGCATTACGATAAATTATGTAGAAATACGGCTTGTGGATAAAAATGCAGCCATCTTTTTCCTACTTTATACAGGTATGTGCGTGTTGTTTATTAAAAATGAAAGACTTTTTAAAATCATCAAAAAGTTGCTGCTATAATATAAGCAACAGTTTCTTAGTGTTACTCGCACTTAATAAACATACCTGTATGGTTTTGTTGATTAACTTGAATTATTGATTGTAATGGAAATTTAGGGTTTTTATGGCCTTTTTAAACTACGCATATGTACAAGTACTTATAACGCTACGCATCCAAGTCCGCGGACGAAATTTTTCCAGATTTTTGGTGCAGTACACACTGGCCGAACCAAAAATAAGGTATTTAATATTAACGAGTAAGGCTTAACATTTCCGGGAAGTCACCCTGTTAAAGATAAATGCAACTCAGAGGCTTCAACTGCACAGCAACCCCAATAAACATATGTGACGAGAGTGCACTTGTCATCGTTGTCCACGCTTTGTGCATACTCTTCATGCGAGCTTTTTGATGCGCTGGTAGTCGCTGATTGG